CAAAGAAAAAGTAAGACTTCCCCCTAGGCGAGGTAAGCAGTGGTCGTGGAAAATATACCTTCACTAGAGTGCTTTGTAATCGACTTATCTTTGTCCAAAGTAAGGATACCATCTTTAAGAAAGGTCTGAAACTCATCGACAATAGGCAACTCTCTAAGAAAGAAGGATCTCCTCCATCTAAGGTCGCAAGTCAAGATCCTATTAACAACGACTCATACCTCACCCACCAACCCTTTCTATTGGATATAGTTTGAGAACAAACAAAAATACTTGAACTTTAGAGATATGTTTCCTAACCACGGGTCCTCCCAAAAGAATTTGACTTTTTTTTTTTATGTGAATTAAAAAATATATGAATTATGATTGAAAAGATATTTAAGTTAAAAACATGTAAAACACAATAAACTATATATTTCTTTATCTAATGTTAAAAACGTTTTTCTTCAAATATTAACTAATATATTTATTTCCTTTTTAACATAGTTTCTTTAGTAAAGTAACAAAATGATTTTTTTGATAAAGTAATGCATAAAATAGTTGCATTTTTTTGTCACTATTTGTTCTTTCTTTCCTCCTAGTAGGTCATTGCTTTTAGGACAACATTATTAATGCAAAGTAAACGACTCGAAGCATGCAAATAACTTTGTGAGATGCCAATGCTTTTTTGAACGAAGCATGTGAGGAGCAATTGGGCATAAATACATAAATTGGACCCCTCAGCTCTCTTTTCTCTTTTTCTTCAACTTTAATATCTATCTATTATTCAATTATTTGATTAACCCTTTTTTATGTAAATCTATTTAAAAATATTGGTATCTAAATTATTAATAATTAATAATTTTGAATATTTTTTAAAATAATAAAAAAATATGTAATTGAAGATTAATTTTTACGAGACACAATTTTTATTTTCAATTCTGAAATAGACAATATTATGTGAAGTATTACATAATATGAAACAATACAGTTTTTGAAGACGGTTATGGTAGACGAAACAATGTAATGTTTTAAAAATATTGATATAAACGAAATAGTATAACATTTGACAAAAGTGTTACCGAAAGTGTGTGTTTCATCAAGGGTTGCAGTCTTATAAAATAAAATCAATTTGCTCTATAAATTAAGTATTTCAAATTCAAAAAAATCATAACAAAAATATATATCTTCTAGAATAAATTATAGACACTCTTAGCTATATTTAAAAATACTTAAAATATTATAATAAGAAAAGTGATTCTTTCACGATTTTAATCTTAATATATTTAATTTACCATTAATTTTTCTAAGAACCTTATAGGATTTTAATAATGACTACTAAAGTTTCATTTTCAAACATTAAAGTGATTACTCGTAGGGATGGCAAAAATATCCATACCCGCGGATATCTGTGGATAAAATCTGCCACGGATATGTGGTTGGTAGCTTAATGGATATCCATGGATAAAATAAATGGATATTTAAATATCTGTTTGTTAATGGATATGGATATGGGTTTAATGATATCCATACCCGCGGATATCCATATCCGTTTATAAATTATAAAAATTATTTAAATATCATTAGTTTATTATACTTTATCTTTGCATCTTCTAAAAAAATTAGTCTTCTTATACTTTTTTTTTAATTCTTTTAAGAAAATCTTTCACTTTTCATTCAAATTCTATTTGTCATTTCATATTTAAACTCTTCGATACTTCATACCTCACTTCATCAATTTCACAGTCCAACCAACTAATATCGTCATTCCTTTGTCGAACTAGTGTCTCCATTCCTATTCCTCTGTCGTCTGATCTTTCATCATTCCTCTGTCGAATCTTTTGTATGGATGTTATGTGATAATAAATTTTTGTGTCTTTAAAATAAGTTAAAAATAATTTTCTCAAAAAATAATTTTTATAAAAAAAGTATTATCCATAGATATCTGTAAATATCTGTGGATACCATAAAACTCGTGGATTACCCGCTTAACAGATATCCACATGGATATGGGGCGGATATAGATATCATATTTATCTAACGGGGCGGATACGGATATCATAATATTTGCTCCATGGATATCCATTTACATCCCTAATTACTCGTAAGACCTGAGCAAAATGGTGTCAAATACATTTTTATTTTATAAAAATAAATTAAAACGATAAAAATCGTTAAACCTAATAATTTTAGAGAAAAATTATTAATATTATAATTTTTCGATAAATTTTTAATATTTATGATATTACTTATTGAAACATGTATGAATGTTAAAAGATATTGTATATCATTTGTATATAATTGCATAGTGCAAAAGGCATGGTTACTGCATATGCACATGAAATGTTTTCACAATACAATATCACATTTACAATTTTTTTTATATTTATTTTATAAAATGATGCATTAACTTTTTTTATTTTATTTTATAAAATTATACATTAACTAATTTTTTAACCGCAAATGATATTAATGTAATGAGCTTGAAAACATTAAAACTTAGAGCATCCACGTTTATTATCTCCACTTTGGTTCTTTAGATGGGGTCCATGCAATTTTTTATATTATATTCTACTTTAATATTTTCTAAACAACTCAACTACATTTTTCAAATATCCATACAACCTAACAAAAACTCTAAAATGGGTCTACCTAAATTTCACAATATATCCAACATTTTAATTATATAAATAAATAATTGAAACAATTTAATTCAAATATATCAAAATACATTAAAAAATTATATATTTAAAATAAATAAATATATATATATATATATATATATATATATATATATATATATATATATATATATATATATATATATATATATATATATATATATATATTTAAAAACACAATACATCACACAAATAATTAATTAAAAAATACATTATTAAAATAAGTTACTAGCACAAAATACAATAAAAATATATATTTAAAATATTTTTCAATTGTTGTTATTCTCATGTCCATAACGTTGCCATATATGTTCTATCAAGTCTTGTTGAAGGTGTCGATGAACTTGTTTATCACGAATATCAAATCTTCTACACAGGAACTCTTGAAAATCAATATTAGAATCATTCGACAATATTGTCGCATCATTACTCAAATGATCATAAGAAAAATCAAAATTTCCACCATATGTTGCACATTCATCTTCAACAATCATGTTGTGTAATATGATGCATGTATTCATTATGCGCTGGAGTGTGTCTAAGTGCCAAGATCGTGCTGGATTACGTATGATCGCAAATCAGGATTGAAGAACTCCAAATGCTCGTTCAATATCCTTTCTTGCCCCTTCTTGATGTTGGGCAAACAATTTTCTCTTATCCCCTGTGGCATCAGGATACTTTTTACAAACGTGGCCCATTCAAGATAAATACCATCTGATAGATAATAGCCCTTGTTGTATTCAGTACGATTGATTGTATAATGAACCTCGGGAGCTCGTCCTTGTAGAACATCGTTGAAGACATTGGATTGGTTCAACACATTAATATCGTTGTTTGAACCCGCTACCCCAAAGAATGCATGCCAAATCCATAAGGCTTGTGAAGCCACTGCTTCAAGCATAACAGTTGGTTTCCCATGATCGCCTCGAACATATTGTCCTTTCAATGCAACAGGATAATTTTTCCATTCCCAATGCATGCAGTCAAAGCTCCCTAACATACCTGGAAATCCTCGTGCCTCTCCCATTTGCATTAAGCGTTCAATGTCTTCGGCGTTTGGCCTTCGCAAATATTGTGCACCAGAGATGTTGATCACTCCTCGTGTAAACTTATCAACACATTTTAGTGTCGTGGTTTCATCAATTCTCAAATAACAGCCCAATTTTTTATAATTAATTATTTATATTAATTAATTGATTTATTGGGATTGTTTTAATTATTGGATGATTATTTAATGAATTGGTAGATATTTTGAGAGAAGAAATATTGGGGAGAAATAGAAGAGAAGGATATATAAGGGAAAGTGGAAAGAAAAGAGATAGAAAGAAAAGAGTAGAGAAAGAAAGAGGAAGAAGAGAAAAGAGAAGGAAACATATATTTATAGTTAAAAATATAACTATTTTTGGTCTTTATCACAGATGTCATTGCCACTCACTTACGATAACAATACTTTTAAATCATAACCTTTTATATTCAAACTAGTAAGATACTCGTGCTCCCGCACGGGTGAATTTATTCGATTTAATATAAAATATATTCAAATGTATATTTAAATTTGAAATAAATTATTTTATCATAAAATGAATAATAATCCTAAAAATTTAATTATATTAGATAATTATATAAAAAAGTGATTCATGAGAAGATGGAGAAAGGAAAAAAAATAAAATATGTTTTTTTCTTTCTTTTAAGATTTAGAAAATTGATATTTTATTTAAATGAGAGTTTTTAAAGAATTTATATACATGTTAAAAATTATGACATATGATTATACAATAAATTATTTAGAGTATAATATCAACAAATAACTTGCAGAATGTTTGGATATAGCGATGTAATGTATTTTTAGACAGAGATATAAGATACTCATGTTATTATTATCAAAATATGAAGTATCCACAAAGTATCCATTTGTTTCAACAATCAAATGTTTTAATCCTTATCAAACTTTAAAAAAAGAAAACATGAACTAATTATTACAACCCATACCAAATAACTTGCCGCATCTAAACATACAATACTGAATGGCAAAATCAGAAGTTATGAGACCTAAATAGCTTCGATTTTACCCACAACTCACCCCAAAAAATAACACGCTACTGAGAAATATAGAGGAGGGTAGGTAAAGGAATACATTACAATTAAATATATAAACAGACAAATATAACAACAAAGTAGACAATAGTCACGTAGACAGGATGCTTACATTGCACCTTCCATAAGGGAAAGGTGCTAAGCAATGCTGACATAGTTACTGCAAAATCAAGTTGTAAAGGATGATAGGGATAAATATAGGGCTTGAACTAATTAAATAGTGCACAGTATATAAAATTCAAAATACCATTAGAACAGAATAGATTTCCTGACCTGTTGCATAGAGCTGATACACACATTCTTTCCATCCTGATATGCAAGACAAGATAGGTAATTTACCAGAAGAAATCATTAAAATCAAAGCACATAACTATAATATAAAGATCTAACTTAGTTTCATGATCTTGAGAGTCAGATAAGTGTAAGAGGACCACTCTGTCAATGAAGACAATGACAATGTATCCAAGCTATCCATTTAGTTAGATATATTACGCAATATTATGGTATGTATAAATAAGCAATTGAATACATAATATTATCAAAAGACATATTGGGTAATATTATGTGTAATATTGCATTATTTCAGTGGCTCCTTAATTTTATATTTATCCAGTAAGCATTATTCTATGACTCTCAATTTTCAAAATTATTAGTGTTTTCCAACTTGACTGTTTTAGCATTAACACTGGGGGCAGTTAAAACTGGAAACAGGCAGAAAATTGTTGAAAATAGATCAAAAGGCTCTTAGAGCCACCCGCAAACCAGCATGTTTATGCATGTTACAAACATTAAAGAGATAGTAAATACCAGATCTGTTTGACAAGAGTAACTATCAAATTCTGGTGGCACAGAATTAAGAGGCTCCTTAAAACTCATGGCGAAAAAGCTTGTTTCCACCTACAAGATATTATCGTAAGTAAAATTGGGTGAAATTACGCATTAATCAAGAAAAGCATATCAACAAAACACCAGGAGAGTGGTACACACCTCTTCCGCACTCCCGCCACCATGATCACCATTTAAGGTTTGCCCATGGTCACCCATTACCACAAGCAAGGTATTTTCATGTAAGCCCCCAGGTCCAGCCTGATTTTCCAGCACTTCAATAACTCTCTAAAGAAAATTTGGATTAGTTTGGTTACTAATTAGGCATGGAAATCAGCAAAAACTAAACTGGATAAAAGACCACAAAATTGGTATATATAACCAAAAATACAGGAGAGGTATTGTTAATTTACAGAAGTTGGCATACAACATATAACAGAAATGATTAGATAAATGAAGCAGAAAGCATAGACCATACAATTTGTAAAATATTGTTGTACGTTATTGAAGCAATTGAAGAAAGCCACACAACATTGTTTGAAAGTAACAACAATGACTAAAAATATGGTGTTTCCAGAACTACTCTTTTAATGATATTGTTGCAACAATAGAACAGAAGGGTACCATGAACAAACATTTTTTTATTTGAAAAAAGAAAGGATTATTTTTTTCAAACCACTCAAATTAGTATGAAAATTGGTACTTGACCATTCCATGCTATCACTTAAAAAAGCTCCAAAAGAAAACGATTTATTCATTTTACAACTCCATCCTCTAAACATGCCCCAAACCAAAGCATTTGAACACAACTTCTACAGACAGCACAGATAAATAACTCAAAATTGAATTGGAACTTATTAAAACCAGGATAGTCAAGGTATATTAAGTTCTTCGTACTAAAGGTTGGGTTTAGCAATGTCATGAGTTCCCACTGTCCAAAAAAACATATATTATATGTATTAAAAACAAATCAATGGAAGAAAGCGGTTTACCTTTCTAAGGCATTGGAAAACAATTCGTCAAGTTCACGGGGTCGCAGCATCCTATCCTAGAGGAAGGAAAATATATGGTTAATTTTCACATTGTATAACGATAAAGTCTATTAAGTAAATGTCCAAAAATGATCGGGAAGCAACATGAAAAATAGAAAGTATTCAAGGTCATATGTGGAAATGACATACAAAATCAACATCAAATGCATCAAAAATTGTCTCTAAGAAAACATTGTAAGGTGCAAATACAAAATATACAATGGAATAGGGTTAGGGGATTTCTATTTAGCCAAACAATTCAACAATGACATATACAAATACAAAATATATATATATATATATATATATATATATATATATATATATATATATATATATATATATATATATATATATATATATATATATATATATATATATATATATATATATATTATATATATTATATATATTATATATATTATATATATATATTATATATATATATATATATATATATATATATATATATATATTATATATATATTATATATATTATATATATTATATATATTATATATATATATATATATATATATATATATATATATATATATATATATATATATATATATATATATATATATATATATATATATATATATATATATATATATATATATATATATATATATATATATATATATATATATATATATATATATATTCAACAAACATCACACGTGCAAGTTGATTAATAGAGATATGTATGGAGCTATTGCCTTTTACCTAATCTTAAATATGAAAGGAAAATTCATAATAAATATAGCCATGACTTGATTGTACATTGGATAGGAGAAGTTAATAAAATCGATAATTAATTGGATATGTTTAGTGTTCTAATCTCATACACTTTTTCTTCTCTTTCTTTATTTGGTGGTGGAGGGTGAATTTTGTTAAACTAAATGAGATTTTTGTACTAAAAGAATTGATTGATATTTGGTTGGGTGTGCTACTAATATTTAGTCTTTCAATAATATATCATTTTTTATATTTAATTATTTGAAATTATATATTTAAATTTTGAATATATTTTATATTTTATTGTTTGAAATTATATATTTAATTTTGAATAGAAATTTAGGAAATATCGCTAGTCAATCCAACATTATGTACTAAAAAATCTATTGTTTTTTATACTTTGAATATTGTTTTGAGAAATAAGTATGACTTGTGCAAGTTTCATATTATTTGAAAAAATAGACACTTCATATAGTATTATCTAAGATTGTTAACATTTTTTTCAAATGGTACAATTCATACATATAAAATCATTTTAAGAGCACCATTCCAAATAAAAGATGGTGTATTATATTGTGGGTGTGTTCGGATTGTATTATTCAAACGACATGAAAGAAACAAATTTGAAACTTAATGGAATTTGATAAAAACATATGGTGTAATGAACAAGCCTTTAATATTGGATCCATTTGTTTTTGCTTTAAAAATATTTTTTTTTTTTTGTATTTTTAAAAAATAATTTTTATAAAAATGTTTTTCAAAATATTAAAAGTTGTGTCAAATTTATTTTTTATAAATTGAAAGACTAATTTTGACATTGTGTAACATAAATACAAATTATTAAAGATCAAAACATAGTCAAAATCACAACTTTTTTAAGATATATCTCAAAAATGATTTTTATGAAAAGTTATTTGAAATTACTTCAAATTTAAGTGATTTTTTGAAATTCTAATATTAAAATATTTTACAATAAAATGATTAAATATATAAAATAATATTTAGAGAGTATGACATTATGGGAAGTAGGGAATGACAACGATATAAAGGTGTGGGAGGATGCTTGGATTGAGCCATGTTTAAAGCTGATTCCTAAGCTACGAAATCAGAACTGCACTGTGGATCCAAACGCCAAAGCGGGTACCATGGTTGATCATAATGGGGATTGGAATTGGAACATTCTATCAGCCTTGTTTGACAATGCTACTTTGGATAAAATTAAAGTTATACATCTCTCTATTCTAATTTATAAAGTGACTGATATGAGTACATGGGGTGGGTCTGAAAGTGAGTTTTTCACTATTGCTTCTATGCATAAGCAACTCTCTCCTCGTGCCAGCAGATATGGGAACAATAATATGATAAGTTGGGTTGACATTTGGAAGCTTCAGGTCCCGGAGCGTATTCTGTGTTTCATTTGGAAATCATTTCATAATGGCCTTATCACAAAGAAGTATCTCAGACATCTCTAGTTGAGGAATGCCTACTGTGATGTCTGCAGGAATCATAAGGAAACTATTCTTCATGCTTTGAGAGATTGTTCTATTACTAAACAGGTTTGGACTCAGCTTGTTAATAACACTAATAAGCATAGGTTTTTTAAAGTTGAGTTAGGGGATTGGTTGCATAGAAATTTACAGAAAAATCATATTTTAGGCACAATGATTGGGAGCTCTTTAGGCCTTTGCGTGTCATACTATATGGTTTTGGCGGAATCAAAGGATTCACAAACCAAACTTCATCATGCCGACCAATATTGTTAAACGTATCACTGATTTGGTGCATCAGTATGGCGAGTACACAAATTTGAAGCACCAATTGATTCCCCCTTCAGTGGAGTCCTCTTAAGGGCGATTGGATTTGCCTGAATGTTGATGGGATTGTCAAGCATGATTTCCTGGGTGGTTGTGGGGACCTTTTGCGCAACAACTATGGTAATTGGTTTGGGGGCTTCAGTAAGCATCTTGGTAATAGCGATAGCATCCATGTAAAGCTTTGGGGTGTTTTAGCATGTCTTCAACTAGCTCTACGCGAAGGTGTTAAGAAGCTTAAGATCCAAGTGGATAATAGTAGGGTGGTTTCTTTGCTGAAAGCGTGTGACACGGTGCCTCAATTTGGTTATAATCTGTTGCACCACATTCAAAACCTTGACAATAGTTTTGAAGAGATTAAGTTTGAGCATACTTATTGTGAAGCGAATTGTAGTGTAGATTTGTTGGCAAAGAAAAGTCGCAATGACATCAGCAAGATTTATGAAGTTAGTCCTAGATGACTTCAACCTCTAAAGAGGATATTTATGTTTCTTTTGTAAGACAAATTAGTTAATTCGTCTCTTAGTTTTGGACTTTTGCTCTTCTATTTTCAAAAATAATAAATAATAAAAAAAAATAACCGTTTAAATCGATTTTCCATTTGAAACTTTTTAAAACAAATTATATAAAATTTTCTAAACAAATAAAATATTATATTATAGAAATCATTTAAAAAAAAATCAAAACAAATTGTTTGATTATGTACAACTACTTATGCTATTTTTCCTATGACAAGTAAAAACAAACACACACAAAAATCTATTATGAAAGTGATTTCAAAGATAAACAAGTGTTATCATTGTAAATCATTTTTATACTTAAATTCAATTTAAAAAAAAGTAATTTATGTATCACATCACTTTACTCTTGTAAGAGTATCTTCAAACTAATGACTTTACATTATAAAGTAGAAGACTCTTACTAAAACAACAACTTTTTGAATATTGTTATGTTAAAATTGTAATGGAATTAACTTCATGAGTCCTCTTTGTCAAACCAACTAATTAACTTTTTTCTTTTTACTAATAATTGTGAGCAGGGCAGGCTAACTTTTGAGCATTGGATGCCCCATCCTTTCTAATTCATCTTCTATGTCTTAGAAAGTGCTCTCAATCCATATGCTATATCTACAAATATAAAGTAAAAAAGCATGTTGTACTACAATGTCTCTGGGGAAAGATTATTCTGTTTCACAAGAAAGTGGTAAGATTATATTTAAAAGATTATTATGTCTAACTAGTTTGTTGAATCAATATCATTGAAGATCTTGAGTAGTAACAGTTGAGTAATCAGCATCAACATAAGAGAATAATATTTTTGATATGTGTTGGCTAAAACATTGAGCTTTTAGTGTTGTTGATGATAATCCATTGTATAAAAATACTCGTATCTTAATTTTAAAAATATTGAAAGATATTATTATTTTCGATGGTAAAAACAATTGAAGAGTGGAGTAGGTATAGCGAGAACAAATTGTCGAACTATTGTATATCCAATTTACATTTTTCTTTCTGTATCTGTTTTAATTTTCTGCATATTATCATGTGTGTTAGATATTGTTCATCTTTATAATATCATCTAGAATTAGATCTTACTTATAGTATTTTATCATATAAGTTTAGATCTGTGATGCATC